AGCCCCCATAAAACAGCCCAGAGTTCAGCACAGCTTGGTTTTGGCCTCTGTACTGCTCCTGCAGCAGAGTTAACCAGGTCAGTCTCGCTCCTCCCTTCAAACACTTCATCGGTGTGATGCTGCATTTTCATTTATTTTTCCACCCAGCACTCGTCAGTCATCTTTCTTTAGCAAGGAGGTAAACACCCTGTTTTGTTTTCCCATCTGTATTTAAACTGTGAATGGAGTGAAGCAACAGGCTGGGAAGCAGAAAGAGGAAAGCAGCTCTGAGTGGAAGCGATACAAGCACTGATTGCAACCAGGCTTTTCAGATGTATGAAAAAATAACTCCCACCCCCAAGGAGATACTTCAGAAGCTGAAAGCTAAGAACTTAAGTACAAAGGCTTTTGTTTTTATTGACATTGTAAGAAACATTTTTTCTTTGTTACAAAAAAGCTAAGTGGTTCTGAAAGCAGAAGTACAGTTCATATGTACACAGTGCTACAGACCCTTCAGATCAACCTAAGGCTTGAGAAACATCAGACCATAACTGCAGGTTTATCAAATGAAGACCACTAAGGTCTGTTACAACTGAACACTATTCCTACCGTACATAAATGTATTTACACATTCTTTTTTTTTTTTTTTTTTTTTTGGATTTCAGGCTTTTTAAAAAAAAATTAAAAAATAAAAAAAAAAAAAAAGCAACACTTTTTTATCTTACACATCTGCAGGACTGACAACAGTAACTGTTCCATAGGAGACATTCCACCAATCCAAGGACAATAACACGTGAATACCAGAGGTTTACAAGATGTTTTGGACACTATTAACAGTGGTATGTGCTATTAGCTCAATGGCAAGTACAGCCTCATCAGGAAAATTTGGCAACACATCCTGGTCCCTCTCTTTCACAGGGTCAATGCAAAATAAGGCACATACATTGTGGGAATATGAGCACTGCTGTCCAGGCAGAAAAGCCATGGCGGGACAGACATGGGCGAGCTCACCAGCCATCCCACTGAGGAGGGGGGAATCACTGACAGCAAGTCAGCAATCAGCCAGCATCTTAATGCACGTACCATTTGGGACCATTCCCCAAGGAGAAATAACATCATCTGCCATGTGTGGATGTGTGGGACCATTGTACTCCCTCGGGGAAGCGCACTGAGTTTCCTGCAAACACACCTTTCCTTCACCTGCACGTAGCTGACGGATAAACTCTTCACTGGCAACTTCCACTTCGTGGAAAGTAAAACTGTCTGGAGAAACACACATGCTTCAGGCAGGCTGAGTGTTACTGATGTGCCCAAGTAAAACATATGGAAGACCCTCAAAGAGCCATTACAAGAAATGGTGACTTAGACCTATGCTGCAATGCTTTAAAAATAGAACATTCATGACATTTTTTGCATTTTCTTGTACTCTTGGGTGAGCAGTGGGTTTCCAACAGTTATGCAAAAATCAACTGATGTGCCACATACACAAAGCAACCCTGCAACTGGAAGAGTAGAGGGGTGCTAGTAAACTCATTCCACCAGTGTTGATGGGACTTTCTCCAGACTGACACATGTAGAGAAGGAGGTTGACAAGTGAAAGCTGGTGTCCAGTGTAACAGTGCCATGCTCAGAGAGACCAGTCTACCTTATCAAAACAGAACCAAAACCCAAGATAGCTGAGCTATGATGTATTGCTACCCTCACAGGTACCAAAATCAGGCTCTTTAGTATAAAACGGAAAAGCATGAGAAAACACTAAAAACTGAAAAGTGATACATGAACATAAGTGGCACATACACTTAATGGTGAAAACAATAAATCCTTTGCACAAACTCCCCAAGGACACAGTGGAGTCTCTGATTCTTCAACTTTGCCAAATCAAATGGGATGCCTTTCTTGAGCACGTGGTTTCTGCCAAGACACACTGTTGGCCCAAGACAAGGCTAAGTGAGTGATGAAGGTTTGTCAAATCCAGGAAGGCAAATTGGCTACTCAAACAGTCCCTTTTAGCCTGGAGCAATATGAATGGCTCCTTCTAAGCTCTGATGGATCACATCTGTTAATAGCTTCCCAGCATCAATTGCACCAGCAGATACAATTATGAACTGGAAAATTGAGTTAAAAAAATACTTGGGGATGTTTGGGGTTTTTTTAATGTATTGGTTCCATTACAATAAAAGACTTCTCTCCCAAGCCACCTACTCCCAGGCTGGTCGTAAGTCTCCCTGTTGAAATTGTTTATAAACATGTAATTGATAGCTTTAATAAACAGCCAGGATTGGTTACTGAGAGCTGTCTGGAACAGCCTTTCCTTATGCCTATAGTGCTGCTTCTCTGCAGGGTTGGGGGCTGTATCCCAGCACTGCAATGCACAGCACGGCTCTTGGAACATCCCTTCCCCTGGGGACCTGCCCAGTGGGATGCATCCCTTCTTGTCCCAGCAGCAGAGCAGGGACAATGGTTGTGTACAGGCAGCAGGGCTCTGCAGGCCCTTTGGGCAATGAGAGGGCAACAGGGAGCAGCTTCCACTGCCCCAGCAATCCAGTCATTTGCCATGGTGAGCTGTGTCCAGCTGCCCATGCAGCCCAAGGACCACTGCAGGCAGTCTGTGATAGCTGGTCAGGGGCAGGGAAGCTGGGAGGGGAAGTGTCAAAGGGAAAAGTGCAGGATGAGTGAATATGTGTGCATGGGACAGCGTAAGAAAGAAATGCTGGCTAAACATAAAAAAAGACAGGAACTAGATTGTGATAAAAGGAGTAGGATATTTACATTTGTCTTGGTTTCTGACATTCCAGCTCGCAGTGCAAATCTCTTGGTACACACTGTGATAAACTTAAATATGGCCCCTGCACCAGATTCCTATGATGTTTTCCTATGGATTTATATATTCATGCTCTGACTCTAACAGCTATTAACAGATCAATGTTATCTGACAGCTTCACTGAGATTCATTTCCTCCACATTTCCTCAAATGCCATGTCCTGAATCAGCTGGTATTTCACTTTTTCTTTTACAATTGAAAAAAATGCTATGGTTTTCTAGCCTATAGAAATCACCTTCTGATTTTTACTGGGCTAAAGTTTATCTGTATTTCAAAACTGACTACGCTCCCTCATGTTGCTGTATGTCTACTGTAACATCAGCTCCTTACAGACATCAAATCCATGACTGTAAGTGCCAGCACAATCTACACCCCGTAGTAGGACTTCACTATTAGGATTTAAGTGAGAAGTCTTCAAGGGCTGGAACTCCATGCAGCTTCTAGGAGTGGGTGAATTTAAACCGTGGTCTTGTGATTGTTCCACACAGCAGCCTGTTCACTCAGGAACACTGTGTACTCATGGGTGCAGACATGGAGCCCAGCAGAGCCAAAAACAAGCCAGTGCTCGCAGAGAAAATGCCGTTCACCTCTACCAGCGAGTAGCTTAATGATCACAGTGCATTGGTTTCAATTTTTTTGCCAGTATAACTGACCCTGGGCATTGACCCACTGGTTTGCTTGGAAATTAAATGCACATGGTGTCACCAAGAGAGAGAGAAAGAAGCTGGGTTGGTCTTTCTGAGCTTTGATTAGTTGCCAGACAACTCAGTTGGTTAGAGCATGGTGCTAATAGCATCAAAGTTGTGGGTTTGATCCTCATACAGGCCATTCACTGAAGAGCTGGACCTGATAATAATTCCAGATCAGAATAGTCTGTGATCTGTGAATACTTGCTGCTCCCCCTTGTTTCTTTGCTATTTTTAATGGCAGTTTTAATTTAATTTTGTAAAGCCTGGACACAGTGGAAAAACATTTAAGATTATCAGATTGCTTGCAACTGCTTTGATTTATTTGGCTAGTCTGAGAACTGAGGCAGCCATTCATTTTCTACTTCTTTTACGTGACATGCCCATGATGTTTTTGAAGCTCTGTGTATCCATGGAGCTGTCTGGGCTAAAGGGAATGTACACACAGCTCTTCCAGCAAATAAGAACCAGTGGCTCAGCAAGTTACATCTCAACAATTTGCATTAAAAAAAAAATACTTCTCCAGTATGAAATACTGTAATTTTGTTATTTCATTGTATGAAATACTTCATAAGACCCTGACTGTATCTCCACAAATGTGGTATGCAATAAGAAGACTGCAGACTCCCCAAGTCACTATACACACCCAAAATTTTGCTATTCATTCATTTAAAAAAGAAGGCTGAAAACCAGAATACCAAATACTGCAAAAGATGAGAGCTGGACTACGAACAGCTTTCTGGTCCTCTCCTTCCTCTGAAATAGGTCAAAAACGACACAATCTCAGTATTGTTATCCAAGGCAGTGACAGCCATCTCTGTGTGTGTGTTTACAAAAACCTTAAGCTTTTGCTAGAGATCAAAGGGCTGCTGGTTTTTACATTTCTTATTTGCCTGAACCTCCCAACCTTTTGTGCTCCATGTCCCTGAAACTGCAGCCCAGGGGTGTACCATGGCAGTGCATTTCTAAGCTGGTTTTCCACCTCAGTGTGATGTGTCCAGATGCGCATCCAGAGAGGATTTCATCACTGTATGCTCACTTCACATTGTGCCTGGTTATAGGTTCAAGAGAAAAAGTTGCAACAGTTTTACAAGGTCTAGCTTCATTTGAGTAACAGAAAACTGTCATTTCATCAGGCCTTTCTTTACAAAAAACCCCAAAACAAAACAAAAAAAAAACCCCACAACATGCATTTCACACGTTTACATTGGTTTACAGGTAAAAAACAAAAGAAAAATAAAAGAAGCATACAGACATTTGAAAAGGGCGTGAGAGAGAGAGAAAAGAGAGAAAGGGAAGGAATGGGTGTAGCAATACTGATTCAAAACTGAAATGGAAGACAGTTTCTCCCTAGAACACTTTAGGGTTTTCAGAGTCCTTATTCCATAAAAGGAATATACTTGAAACACATCCCATTTAGGTGAGATGAGATTGCTAAAATACATACACAACTAAAAAATATGAGTCTTTTTTTTCCCATTTGTTATCTCCTAAGTGTTTTTTGTTTTTTATGTCTATTGCATAACAGCAAGAAACTTGCTTTCTTCTGCAAGTGAGGTCAACAAAGAGCTCATGTCCCCAATAGCCATGTTGGTTGTGCTTACAGGCATAGCTGGGAATGTAAGAGATGTTTGGGGAGTGGTGAGGCGTGAGGAATTGCGGGAGACATTTTGAATGATACTTGGGCTCAGGGCTCCCGAAATTAAGCTGACATGGTCCCCATCATCTATGATAGCATCAAAATCTATCTGCACACCCTCTAGACTGTTGTTGTCAATGCTGTCAACTGTGCTTGACACTTGGTTAGTCCCTGGGGAAAGAAGCTCAGATGAGTTTTCAGTTGCAGTCCCCTGCAGCAGGCAGCTGGCTTCTGAACCAAAGAAAGAACCTGTTTTCATAGCTTGGTGGCTAAAGCCCATGGTTTGGTCATATAACTGACCAGAGTAATTCTGCATGTTAGAGCAGAACTGCTGTGATTGACCTTGCATTTCCATCTTAATGGTGTTTACCCTGTACGTCTGGTTGCCATCACCTACGTGCCTTTGCTGTTGGGACAGGTTGTTTCTCAACACGTTTTGCCGTCTGTTGCTGCTGTAATTAGAGCACGACTGGTAACTTTTGGCCACTGACAAACCTGAAGGCTGGCTACCAGTTGTGTGAGACACCAGTGGACAACTCTGTGGACCTTGATACAGGCTGCCTTGCGAGGTAGGACTAAGCTGCCCTAGCATCATATGACCAGATTGATTGACTCCCTGGTAACGAATGCCATCTCTGACTGGCTGGCTTTGCAAATATTCCTGTTCCATCATATTCCTGTCCTGCATCCCATTTGCCATACTGGTGGTCTGATCACTGGATGCCAGGGGATGGCTGAAATTTTGCTGGTTCCCATTCACTGGCATGTTGCTGATTCTCAGCTTCTGCCCTTGCACTGCCATGCCACAGGAATTGTCTGTCACCCCAGACATCATTGCTTGCCTGCCCATGCTTTCACTGTAAGGCTTGTTGGACTGCATGCTAAAAGAATTCCCAGCTCCGCTGCTAAGAGTCATATTTTGCTGTAAACTGTAGGAAGTGCTGTTCTCCATCAGGTTCTGATAGCCATTCTGCTGGGCCATGTTGCTTCTCTCCAGGTTCTGCTGCTGAACCATCATATTGTTGTGCAGTCTGAAGGCCCGAGCCTGCTGCACTACTGAACGCTGACCACATTTCAGCTTTGAAGGAGATAAGTCAGAACTCCCTGAGCTTACTTCATTCCACTGAATGGGCAAGTCGCTCTTATTTGCCTCGGGACCTGCCTGCTGACTGCTCTGTGGAGGGGCTTGGTCAAAGTTGCTGGAATTGTTGTTTCCTGAAACTGAGCTGTGATGCATTTTGTTGCTATCTAGGACATTGTTCAACAAATGGTCATACATGCCCTGGTTCTGGGAATTCAGATACTGGACCACGTCATCTGGCAGGAGATCCTCATCATTCAGACTGCTACCTGCTTCCATTGTAGCAGCCTCCAGGGCGACGTTCTCGCTGATGCTTGGAGGACAGGGGGAGCTGAAGCCGCGGAAGACGCCACCCTCAGAACGGGTATAGTTCTGAAGAACAAGGTTGCGCTTTTCCATGGATGGAGGCAAAGCAGGAGTGCTAAAGCTATTAAGACTGTTGAAACGCTGGACTCTAGGGACAGGGAGGTTGTCGGAGGCCATTCTGACTGGATCACTGGCTCTCCTTGTCCCATTTCCTAAAGCTTCGTGAGACAGAAAATGCCTCCTGCTGTAACCATTTGCCCCACCATCACTACATCTTCGAGGGACGTTCACTGGAGGCAGTGGAGATACTCCAGACTCCCTGCAGTCACCCAAGAGTGCCATCCTTGTCTTGAGGCTCATCCTCTCCATGTTAGGCAGTGGAGTTGGTGGGGGTCCACCAGTAGCTGCTGCATATTTAGCTTTCAGCCTGTATTGCTGGGCTGGGGTGAGGCTGAGAAGACTTGGCAGGTCATCACACTGGCTCGCTTCACTGGAGCGCCGGGAGGCATCTGTTGAGATAGGGTCATAGGAGTCTGCAACACTCACGTTCTGTGGTCTTCCCTCTGCCTGGGAGGCATCGCTGGACCTCCGGCTGGAGAAGCAAGGTGAGATTCCAGAGGACCTGCGGCTGCTCAGGTAGGCTGAACTGATTGTGCTAGTATTGCTGTCCCTCCTGTTCAGCATGTTCAACACAGTGATGTCCGTACTTGAGAGTTCGTTCCTGTTTGGCAGAATAGTCATGGATCCTCCAACACTGCAGCTGCTGTTCGACTGGGTACCTGTAGGTAAAATTCACAGTTAAACAAAGAGGTATTATCCAGAAACTGGTGCAGAAAGCACACAGTAAAGAAGTGGAGTATAGAGGAAGAACATCATCACAGCCAATTATAGCAGGGCTCTTTCTTGCAAGAAGTAGGGATAAAAATTGTGTCCTTAGGTTAAAAGCTAATTCGAAGACTCAAGGGTAACATTTCAGTGTGAATCTCAGCAGAAAATTTATAGCCCGTAGCCACAAACTGTCATCAGCTGGTGCAGTACTCCAGCCTGCAGTGCAGCTATGCTGGCTGATGTGCCAGGAGGACACATTCGTAAGGGAGCTTTTTATAGGCAAAATATAATTGAACAGGCATTTGCATGGAATGGCAAAATATACAAATTGGAGGCTATTCAAGGTCATTTCTAATACTTCTTGAAATATTCTTGAAATAACTCCTAACAACTGCAAAACATCTTTGCTGGTTTCCTTGTTTTGTTTTGGTTTGGTTTTAAGTAAACAGGATATATTTCTTAATTTTACATAGTTTCTTTTGATTGAATGGGTCTCAGAAAACAAACCTGGGCTGTCACTGCTGGGTGGAGCCCAGAAACCTACAGGCTTGCTGTAGGCAAAGTAGGGGCAGCAGCAACATCCATTTTGGTAATGAGCAGCTCTTTGGAGGAAAACAACTGGGGATCTTCAGAGTTCAACCTCGCCTTGCTCCCATTCATGGATATCTGCCCTCTGCAGCAGTAGCATCTGTACATATGATTTCTTCTATGTGTAGGAACAGGTTATTTAAAGGGAAGCCCACCATATCTCTACAAAGGCTGCCTTGCAAAGGCCTCAACAGAAAGACTTCCATACAGTAAACTCACAGGTATTTATTTCTTCTACCTTGTCTCAAAACAAGACAGAATTATGATGATCTTGGGTCAAAACCTTTAACTGCAGGGAATATTTAAAATGTGATTCATGGCTCTCTCACTAGCTCCTGTTCTGTAAAACACAGGACTATCAGACTTCTCAGAGGGGGGGTAGAAGAACTTGCAATGAAGGAATAAACAGAAAGTGATCAATTTATAAACCATTTCACAGCTGCTGAGTTTCCTAAGCTGTGCAACTCCTGCAAGAGTTGCAAGACTGAGCTAGCAAACAACAAGATTAAGGACAAAAAGTGTTATTACTTCTCTTATGTGTATCTCACCATTTCCTATGAGAGGCGGCAAGGTTGGGGCTTTGGAAGGTGGAACGGGGTTCAGTCTTGGAAGCATTCCATTAACTTGTTTCAACCTTTCTAATTTCACTTGCTCCATCCATTTGGTCCCTGTCATGTTCCTCCTGGCCTGTAAGCCAAGTGCTGTGGTGGCTGTGGAAATGGTAGAGTCCATGATTGGGGTTTCATCAATGACACTGAGGTCTCCTACACTACCACCACCGGTCAGAGTAAGCTCGATCCCATTGTTGGAATAGTTGCTGATGGGGGACTGTTCGCTGCTGCATGTAGACTGACCACCAGGGCTTGGCTGAGATGTCTGTTGGAGGGAAGTCAGAGACAAAAGAGTGTGAGGATTAAGCAAGCAATGTTAACCAGAACATTTGTGCTAAATGGAGCCAAAGACACAGGTATAGAAAAGTTCAGCCTTAAATGATAACAGTGATCGCTCTTAAGGAGGCTTTCTAGATATTGGCTTCAACTGCAGTGAAGGGCATTGTAAAACATGAGACTAAAATTGCCTTCACATGTTGCTGATGGTATACAATATACCTCTATAAGACTTTTATCCGAGTTATTCCCAGAGTTACTTCTATCACTTTGAGCCATTTGTGAGCACGTATGGATGGACACCCTACTTTGCTTATGTGCTGTTCCCAACTGAAGCTGCAGCTCAGAAAAACCAAACCAGAATTCAGCCATGTTACAAGGTATTAGTTTACACTGCTAGGCTTGCAAACAAACAAACAAACAAACAAGACTCCAACAACATTAGAATTTGGCTTTTTTTAATTAGACTTGTGGCTAAAGAATGTAAGCATTTTCCAGGCTTAAGGCTCATTGTTACAAGCAGTGGTTGGCTTGAAATATTGGCATGTAATAAAACAAGCACAAAACATCAGTGCAAAAAATACTGTATCATATTATCAGCATCCCGTGATCCTGGCAGGACTCAGGTCTAACTTCTACCTCCTCTTATACCTAACTTATACCACCTCTGCCCTGAATCAAGGTGATGATCTACTAAATCAAATCCTCTGTTTCATCAGAATTTAAGATTTTAAATGCAAGAACTAAGTAGACAATACAGACTGCTAATCGGCAGGGATATAAACATGCCACAATAACATTTTCTTTCTTAACAGGGAGTGTTCCCTGCTGCTCTCCCAGCAGAACTCTTGCTGTGGGGAAACACAGGCTTGATTTACTTTTCAGACATTTTGTAAAATTCTCTCAAAAGAATGGGAAAATGAACAAACTGAGAGACAAAACAGAGGACGACAGACAGAAGTCTCTGGACTTAATATCTCAGTGTAAGGTTCTATCAGTGTGATCACAAATCAGTGGGGCATGCAGCATCATTTGGCTCACAAGAACAGTTTCATGTAAGTATTTAAAGGTTTCTGATGTGGTTTTGTTTTTTGGGTTTTTTTTCCTGCCACTCTGTGATCTTTATGTACATTTTAATGAAAAATGCTGTCTAGAATTTCTGAAGCGCCTGAGACGACTCTCACTTTAAACATCAATGAATGAAGACACAGATTCATGGCACTGCTGTAGTTTCCTATGCCCCTAAGGAGTCCATTTGAGATTCAATAACTATTTTATTATTTCTAACTTGAATGATGATACTTAGAATTTATGAGGCCACACTGAGCAAGTTCATTTCCAAATCCTGGCCATAGAAGATTTAGTGACAAGAATAGAAATAACAGTTATTATAGGGAAGAAAGTTTGTGCTTCTGGACAATAGCTCCATGCCATATGGAAGAAGAGTAATAGTGTTCAGAAGCCTGTTCTTGTAGCACATGTCAAGATCACAGTGAGGTAGGGCACAGAAATAAGAACTGTATAATGCAGGACATATATTTCTAGATGTGGAATACAGAAAAAAATGGATGTCTCATCTAAAGTGGAAAGCACAAAGACATTTCTGAAGATATTTCACCAATATAAGCCAGATTTTTCACATGTCAAGTGTTGCAAAATGTTCACAACACATTGCAACTGGGAATGCGCTTGATGGATTGCACATTACTAAATAAAGGAAGGACTGAACAACAAGCAGAAGACCAAAATAAAAACATATATAATGTTGCAATAAGAAAAATAGCAGAAAAGTTAAAATGCCCTCACCTTATTACCCACTGTCCTTAGGAAGTTAGAATAAGACATTTAAAAGCATTAGACAGAAAAGACATTGGATTAGTTGAAAACCAGAAAATATACCTCAATTCATATATGCAATGAAAAGCAAGAAACACAGACTTATTTTTAAAAGATAATTTTCAGTGAGAAATATTTAATACTATATAAGCTATAGGCATTAGTACCCCTCTTCCACAAATTTTCCTTTTAAAACTACATTCAAGATACCTCAATAATGCTACATGTTTACCTAGCAAAGCAAAAGAGATTTTGCTCCTTTGTAAACTAAGGCAGTTATCACCAAAGATGGCAGAGGACCTCCTTTAGACTTCAGCAGGAGTTTACTCTCAGCCCTTCAAAGGTTTTGAATGGAGTATTAATACTGAACAGTTTGAGCATAAGCCTTAGGCACAACATAGCAGTAACTCATATTTCAGTGAGTAATCACTTCGAATTGCAGCATGATTAACAGTATGAGCAGAATTTGGAGGGCTCATATTTGTAGTCCCCAAGGGCTGCATACAGATGAATCATAGACCCAGATGGGGAAGAGGATGGGTGGCTGCCTTTGAATTAACCCTCAGAAGAGGGCAGATGTCACATGAAATTCAGGCAAATAAAACAACTTGTGTATTTAAGATAGTGTCTCAAAAAACAGAATACAATCCTTTCAACAGTTTAATGCAATATGTTGAGGTAAACCAGAGAAAAGACCTGCACACTGTCAATTCAACTTGATTTAGTTAAACTTCCACTAGGTTAACTTGAGTAAGTATCAGATAAACATAAGAGGTCACATCACAACAGAGATGTTATTAAAAGATGCCCATCTGCTGTTTAAGAAAGTCAATTCATCCTGCTTCAGTTTGATCCATGGCCCCTAAAATCTGATTGCTTTCCCAGGTTCTCCAAAAATGATCATCATCAATATCATCATTTTAGTCATTTGGACTTGTGGTTTTGTTTGTTTTTTTTCTCATTCTGGCTTTCAGTCTGCAAGATTCAGATTCATCTTTCTTCTGGAAACAGAAGAGTGGAAAAAACTCTTCATTTTTTTTTTAATGAAAACTCTGATTTTCTCACACTATGCTTATTCCAGAAGATGGAGATTTTTAAGAGAAACAATTATTGTGGCAGTTGCCAGCACTGCACTGACTCTATATTGCACAGACTATTTGTAATCTTTGCTACTTCTTAGGCTTTAAAAACATTTTATAATGTAAACACAGAAGACCTCAAAAAACCAAACCTTGTGAGCTAGTTTACAGACTTGAGCATTTCATGAAGGGATTATTAACTGGTTGCAGGAAGAACAGGACAAAGGGAGTGGCATGGTGTATTGCATACCATTGGTTTTTCTGACTTGACTGCTTTCACTTGGAGGCATTCTTCACGCTTTGAGGTAGTGTTGCTGAGGTCCTTCTGCTCACCAACTGCACCCTGAGTCTGATGGCCTGGTGACCGGGTCTGAGAGTGGCTGCCTGGGTCTCTTGGTGGCGGAGGCCTTGGGTGGATGTCTCCCCGCTGCTTCTTGGTGACGTGTGCCTCTGGGCCATGTACGGTCTTCACGTGCTTCCGGAGAGAGCTAGGGTCTGTGTAGCGCTTCGTGCAGCCTGGTATCTTGCACACATATGGTTTCTGACAAGACACAAAACCCACCCATATCAGATTTTGTTCCACGTGGGACTCCTGAAGAACTCCTTGGAGCACACATGGGGTTACACACTTTCGCAGTGAATTTGTTACCTAATTTATGGTCTCTACAAATGAATCATAGAATGGTTTGGGTTGGAAGGCACCTTAAAGACTATCTAATTATCCACTCCCCTCCCAATATGGGCAGGGACCCCTTGGTCAAAGCCACATTCAAACCTGGCGTTGAACACTTCCAGGCATGGGGCACCCACAGCTTCTCTGGGAAACCTCTACCAGTGCATCATTACCCTCACAGTAACCAGTTTCTTCCTTATAACTAATCTAAATCGACCCTCTTCCAGTTTAAAGCCATCACCCCTTGTCCTATCAAATTGTGACTGCACCTAGTCAAAACCATTAGTTCCCCTTGGTTCAAAAGGTAGTAATTAGTGCTGCACAGTTGACTGAGGGCAGTCTCTCATGGGTACCAACTGGCACAGATTTCACTTACCTTAGCAGAAAAGTCAACTCAGCTATGGCAATTTATGAAGACTGCTTTAATTTTCAGCGCTGTCCCTTGCCCTCAGCAGTTTGATAGCATTCCCAGTATCCTAGTAGGTACCTACTACTTGACACTGAGAGAAACAACCCCCTTCATAAGATGCTGGGCCATTTGCTCAGGGAGAATTAAGTGAGGAGGCATTTTCTTTCTGGCTCCTTCAGATCACCAGTATGATGTCAAAGCATAAGATACGGTGCCATTAACATTTTCACATTGCAGCAATATATGCACTAGTACTATTATTACTGCTACTAGCATAACTCATCATTCATTTTTTAAAAACCACTTTCTTTATCTGTGAATTTCTATAGTTCACTAAGCAATGTAGAATAAAGTAAATTTACTGTCTTATAAATTAACAAAGACTTTTTTCTTGCATTATGAAGGGATTAGAAAGAAGAGCTGAGCACTTCCTAAGTCCTTTAATTGCCTCGGGAAGCAAAGTATTGTTCACTCACTTTCATTACTGAATTGTTTCCAAGAAACCACTATTTTAAAGGGTTTTTTTTATACTAGCCCTCAAGAAATAGAAAGAGACCCTCATGCAGAGTTTCTCAGAGGGATTCTCTCTCTGCTTACACATGGCACTGTGGAGCCTTTGACAAATATAGCTTCGTCATAGCTGTCTAAGGCCTGAGGCTGCTTCCACTGACATCAGAGGAAAAACCCTCCCGTTTACTTGAATAGGAGCAAAAATTAGCAATTTAGAGATGATGCTGAGCTACTGAGGCAGGTTTTCTCAGGTTGCTATGGAAGTACAAGTCACTTAGCTCTCCTCTGCATGAGTAAGGCATATCGTCATCAAGATATGTCAGCTGCTTTTAAAGCTCTCTGTAGGTACCTACTTAAAACCAAAATGGCACAGCAAGCAAATGCTGAATTTGGTCTGTGCTTTTCAATGTACTCACATCACTCCACCAGTACATGTTTCCTTAGAAGATTAGCCTGTTTTGGTGTGAAGTAATGGTGAAGGAAATGTTTCATTTGCCCCTGTGGCTGCACCTATCAGAAATCATGTGCAGCATAAAATTTCTCTGGTTGACTGACTGTTAGACACAAAATTAACACGGGGCAGGTCACATTGCTAAGTGTGAAAAGGTCTAACTCATCAACCAGGCAGCACACAGGTTGGTTCAGACAGTGAATGAAAAAAGAAAGTTCAGGCAGCTATTGGCAGGACTTGGTGAACTTCCTTCTGCCTTGGTGACCATTCACAAAATTGCTGCAGGGCTTCAGTGCCATTATTAGTTGGGCTGCTGAAAATACACACAGGCAGGGATGAAGAAACTCAGAGATGTGCAATGTCTTTTCTTCCTTTGTGACTGAAGAGATGCTGCAGGGTGGGGACTGGAAGAAGATGAATGCTCCCTGGAGATATGCCTGTGTGCAGACCTGACAGACCTGACAGCCAGCTAGAGAAAGATACAAGCTGTGTGGAAATAGATACAGCTGCTGTGGTATGCCCTGCCCTTCCAGTACTTCCAGGTTTAGGCTAGAGGTGAAGGAGTATAGGGACCTGTCAAGGAGGAGAGAGTGGACTCTGAGATATGAGACTGAGATGATGTGACTCTCTGTGCAACTTGAAATGGGGCAATAAAACATGGACAATGCAAGAAGATGGTGTGCTTCCTGAAAAAGGAGGCAGCAGTAACAGGAAACACACTAATAATGAGATGTTACACTGAGAGTTTGGAAACAGCTGTGACTGCCACATCTGGTTTCCTTGAGAAAGGTTGTATTTCCTCTGCTGCATCCCTAGTCCATGAGGTCTCTTCAGGATGGAAAGAAAGAGTGGAAGAGGCCAGAGAAGAAGGAAAAGGCATAACTCAGAATATGATTTCAAATGTGGACACTGTGGCTGCCTGCAGCACCCCAAAGTATGCTGGGAAAGCTGCATCCCAGCAGATGCTTGATGCCAACACAGACACGGGGATGAGTCCAGGCACTCAATGAGCCCTTACAGCTCCAGAGGGAAAAATGATCCCAGCTTTAGAGGGAAATCAGGATCTGTCCCTGGTTAATGCATGTGTTTCCATTAGACTCCCTCATTCAAAACTCTCCTACATGTAATAAAATGCCAAGTCTGTAGGACATACTGTGCTGCTGGACATCCAGAACTTACATTCCTTTCAGGTTGCAGAGGGCTGCTGTGCCTGTGCTATGACCACACTCTGAGTCTGTTCAATAATGAATTATATTAATCTTTTGTTCTTACTTACCTCATTGGAATGAGTCCTGTTTTGGTGCTTGGCCCTGTCAGATGCATTGGAGAAAGCTTTGTTGCAGCCTTCATGTTCACACACATACGGTTTCTCTCCAGTGTGAGATCTCAAGTGCGTTTTCAAGTTTTCTAGTCTGGAGTAGGCCTTTGTACAACCTTCAAACTGCAGACAAGAAATAAATCTGGTTTAATTTTAATCTTTGGACTTGCAGGAAACAGCAAAAGTGGACTTAAAAAGGTTTAGAAATTTTCCAAGCCTTCATAACCTTGTCCAACGTAGTTTTGATTTTAATTTTATCCAAGCATACTCCAACACAGCTCAAGTTCAAATGCTTTCAGCATTATGTAAATCTTCTCTTAAAAGAGAGCACAGTATTCATGCACTTTGACTAAGACTGAAATACATTGCAAAGCCATCAGGAGGCTGATGGCCAGCAGTAATATCAAGCCCTGTAAGAGAAAGTGCCTTTATATAATTAAGCAAACTGAGCCATGTTTAATAATGGCTTTTGGGGCTTTTTTGTACTTTAAACTTGAGGAAGTGGGCCAAATCATCCAGGGAATCCCCTCTCCTAAAGCTTTTGTCATCTGGTTGTGCTGGATAACAAAGCAGACATGTCTCTTCTCCAAAACAGTCTGACAGACGAGCTCAGGGAATGCAGCACTTGTCCTGCTCTGTTTGTTCTCTGCACAGCCCCAGCTTCCCTGTACAAACCTGGAGCTTAGGCCTCTCTACTTACAGTGCATTTGTGTGGCTTTTCCCCTGTGTGTCTCCTCATGTGGACCACCAGCATGTATTGGGCTTTGAAAGGTTTCTGCTCCCGGGAACAGTCCAGCCATCGGCACACAAACTCTTTCTTCTCACCATGTATGTGGTCATTGTTGATATGCTGTTCAGGTAGAATAGAGGTCACAGCTTAACAGAAATACATCATCAGCTGCAGCCTTATTGTAATTTCACACTGGAAGAGCACCAGAGATTCAGGTGTGATTCAGATCCTTGCAGTACAAAAAGAGTAAGATCATCTGCACTTCCAAGTGACCACAGGGTTCAAATGATAGATCCTACTGGAAGTCCACTAAGGCCATGATTTTTTTTCTACTGAGATCAACAGGCTTTGGATCAGGCCTCAGGAATACAAGCTGATAAATGGATCCTGGATAATCTCATGCACGGCTCCACTTGTGTGATTCACACTGGGTATTGCTTTTGAAGAGCAGGGAAGCGTTACTTAAGTGCTGCTCAACACAAACAAGGTTTACAAAATCAGGCCTTTAGAAACATATCCTCCAACCTGAAAAATCATCAGAACTGATAAACCAAGTTTCCACCCCAAATTTTAACTCACTCCCTGTTACCCATATTTTCTTTCAATAAGTGTATTTGGTTCAGTAAATGTACAGATTGTGGCAGCAGAAATAAACCCCTATACACTGTGCACATGAACTCTGAGTACAGAAGCATACATCAAGGCAGCTTTTGCCATTGCCAAGTCTGGCTTTGTCTGAATGTGTGTGGGAGTGACAGCTGCCCCAAACCTGCGGACTCATAGGCATGTCTTTCTGTGGTCAGTGTCATCCACGTGACTGTATCCAGAAGCAGGACAGGGCTAGGCTGTGCACCTTATACTCTTCCGCAAAATTAGCTTGCTCTTTTTCTTTCACTAATATCTAGTTCAGAAAAGCATTTAAAAATGGACTTAATTATTTCTGTGTTTGAGTGGAAACAGGCAAGTGAAGCAGAGCCAGACTCAAAATTGGTTTGGTTTTTTTAAACGTTTAACTGTTTCAATTTTTTTGCACAGCATTAGAAAACAAAAGAAGAGAAAACTACACCCGAACTTCCAGTGTCTTTTTTCCACTAGGAGCTAGCCGACTCATCCTCCCGACTCTTGGAGAAATCATTCCACACTGCCGTAGTTCTGTCATTGTGCCACTAGATGGCTGCATTACTCAGCGAATGACATTCCCACTAAGGTACCACCAAAAAATCTTTCCAGTTTTTATTTGATCACAGCAAAGGGATGAAATCTGTATCTGTTCCATAATGGGCCCACAGTAAATGCTAGCCGTATAGAAACTCATTAGCTCATACTGGAACACAAAGAAGATAATCCAAGTCTTTTCTGAAGTCTTGAAATCAGACAGAAAGCCATATAAAATCACTTATGTCCAAAATTATGCACCACTGCCATGGAAAACAGACATCCATTGCCTATAAAAGATGACAGATCTTTTTCTGAAACTTTATTGCCATTTCTTAAAAGTTGTTATGGGGCACAGGATGCATGAACAGAGCAGAGGTGCTGGGCAACATATGACTTGTAATCTGTAAGAGTTAATGTTCCTGGTGCAGATCTGTATTCATAGTACACACACCTGTGCCACAAGCATACACATGCCCTGTGCTGTGAAATGGCATCATGAGAGTTCAACGAGGGTTATGTGTGCTATTTCTTCAAAGAGAAAGAAGTAAAGGGAAAAAATTCATTCAAGTAATTCATGGCCAAATCTCTCAATAAACATTACAGACTGTGTGTTATGTGGTTAAACCTACACAGCCACGAGGGGGATGAAACTTGAGTGTGTGACACAGGCTTTCCATTCGATACAAAAACCTCAAGCCTGGATCAATCACTTCACCACAGCACCTCCCTTTACCTCCTGCTGTGTGAACACTCAGGCACCGTGGAGACTTTTTCAGAGAAAATCTCCATAAGACAGTTTTTTCTCTTTGTCCCTGCAAATCAGCTTGCTCCCTGTACTCTAGACCTCTAACCTTTAGCAGCATGAGAATCCTCTAAAACTGACCTTTCTCATGGGCCTAAAAGTCCTTTCCTCACTCCCTCCCCAGCCCAGGCTCACTGCAGCAGCTGACAAAGCTTGCTGAGAGTGGTGATGATCATTTGCCTCTCTCCATCACTAGCTTACCTGTCAAATATCTTATGATCATCCTCTGGTCTCTCACAACTGTGGCCCTCCATACACATTTGCCCTGCTCTCTTACTCTATCAATCCTTTCCTAGACTCTCTGATCTTCCTACAATCAAACTCCTCTTTGTGCTGTTTTTCTTCATTGCTCTGATGCTGCAAGTGACCCCTGAGAGCTCACCTGCAAATCCATCTCATTCTCATTCAATCCCTCTGAGGATTCTCACTGGAATAAATGAGCCTGTGATCTACTAATCTGAGTAATTTATTTGGTTCACAGGTGAGCTGCTTAATTGCTTTTTGCAGAGTGGTCATATTTTAGCAGACCTACAAACATGTCCAAATACTGAAAGGCTGGTCTGGAGGAAGACATTTAACTAGAAAATCAGCACCAGCAGTGCTCTCAGGTAAGGCAGTGTTTGTCATCCAACACCCTCACTTGCTCAAGTTATTATGAGAAAACTCATCAGTCATCTGCTATGGACATACAGGTAGAACTACAAAAATGCAAACCATGAACTAAACCTACACTGGGATGTTCTACCATTATCATTTGGCAGAAAGAATGTGCAATTTTTGTGACATGTTTAAAGAGGAGGGAGGTCTCACTGTGCAAACAACATCATTTAGAAAAGTTCAGAAGTTTGTGACCACTGGCATTCAGATTCTTTGACTCAGATAATTACCTTTGGATTTTACACGGTGTTTTTGGCTCCCTAGTCTCTATTATGAGAGGAAATGAGCAGTTTTGAGCTTGTAAAACAAAGAACAGTCAGGAATAAGAGCATTATGCAAAGCAGAAGCTTTGGTACAGTACAATAAGGAATTATAGGGTTTCAATTTATAATCTGTTTGTAACCTTATTACACCCATGAAATGTCACATTCCAGGGACTAGATCAGAAGGATTTTTTTTTTTCCTGGTGAAATTGAATTTTGATGCAGTTTCAGGGTGTGAAAAGGCTTTTCTTTTAATTTTGTGGGCCCAAACCTGCAAGTTTTACTTATGTCTGTAATCCTTATTACAGTAAATAGGCGCATGAAAGCCAATGATATTACTCCCTAGTGTCAGGTTTGCTAGCATAAGGCTCTGAAGCATCAGCTCTGTATTATTAAGAATTTCTGACCTGGAAAAAAAAAAGCTCCCATTAAAAGCTGGAGTTCTACAAGCTATCTCCCATTGCACACAGCTCCAAAAAGCTGCTGAACAGGGGTCATTTGCAGAATACCAGTCACTTTCATGCTACCTCAATGCTTATTACCAAACCTCTGTTTGTCCTGGCTCATTTTCTATTCTTTAAAAAATGTTATTATCATCCAGTTCCAAAATACCCTAAAACAAACAGAGGGAGCTGGCCTAAATACTGATTTTGGTCTCAGAATGACCTGCCTTTGAAGGAGGAAGCTCTGAGATGGATTTCAATTCCAGAGTATAAAACCCCACCACATTAATTGAAATCAAGGCTGAAGTTTGCCTGTCATCTCTACTGGGCAATCTCAAAAACCAGAGGTAACGGGAAATTCAATCCACAATATCCTGGAAGCATAAATGCTTACACAGTAAGAAATACTATTGAAAAAGGAACACCTTAAATCATGCATGTTCTCATATAATCCATACCAACTGTACCTGTTACTCTATATTGCAGCAGATGAGGTGACAGTGGAGGTAGGATCTGCAATAACCTTAGTGTTCCATTTCCCGCCTCCAAGAGGGTTTTTAGAAGAAAGGAGAATCTGCACACATCCTAGCTGACTGCATGGTACCTGTTAGCTATTCAATACATAAACAAAGGCCAAATGTGCTCTCACAGCACATCAAACAGCAGGAGGAAAAGCCTCTCCATACCAGTGCAAAAAATTTAGAAACACCCAAAAAAAAAATGTCACTGCAACTGAGATTGCTTCTGAAAGCAAAGTTCTATTTGGTGGCAAGAGCAGAATTTTCTGGGAGAATCTCACATTTCTGTTTTCCAACTTAGACTTGCTACCCTAGAGTGTAGGAGTAAATTGGGAAGAGACCATGCTGTATTGGTATGATGTGGTAAGTTAGAGGCCAAGTGAAAAGCCTATCACCATTACCAAAATTAGGTTTAATTTCAGTTCTACAACGACAATGTCGAACTTTTATCTTCTCACAGTTATCTCCCTGTATTTTAAAAATTAAAAAGGAGGTGCTAAATAACTTCTCACTAGATCTCACCACTGACATTAAGCGAGGCAGCAGCATTTAACCCATCTTCTAGCACAAATCTCCCCCTGTACTGTACTGCCACAAAAAGCCCCTCAAATCAGCAGAGCTGCTGCATTTGATGCAGAGGGGACAAACAGCAAAAGGTAAACACGTGGAACGGCTGCTAAACACAGTGGAAAACACAGCTAAACACAGCTCATCCCACAGCTGCACAAGAGAGCTGTGGAGCCCACAGAGGACGTGTGGCAGAGGCTGTGCCTGGCAGTACCAGACTGGAAAGCTCTGAAGCTGGCTTGGAAGGGGATTAGCTGTCCCTGACCTGCAAGGCCTCTGGGAACACCTTTATTTCTGTGTTTTGTAAAGGGAATGTAGATTTGTCCTTAAGCCCACATACAGTTAGAAACAGGTTCCTGGTCATCAGGCCCATCCCCTCGCTATGGCACGTCCCACTGCACATAATCCTGGTCATAAAGAGAGCTTCAGCTTCTAAGTACCTTGGTGATCAGCTCCCTCTGGTCCCAGTGGAAGGTGCTTCTAGGAACTCACTCTTCTGCTGGTTAGCAACTAATTTATAGCTTTGATTTATTCACAGCCAATTTATATTCATTTGTTCTCATGCCAACACTATCCTTTAGCTTAAATGGCTCTGTTTCCCTGCAGAGTGTTTAGTTCTCTCCTTTCCCCACCCTAACTAACTGGCAGACAGCACTCCCCTCTCTGTCTTCATTTGCTGGATTAAATAAACTAGTTCCTTCTGGTCTTCTCT